TTATCAGCTTTTCAAGAAAGACTGCTTCAAGGAATTAGGTACAAAAATTTCTTTCAAATAATTATAATCACAATTATGAGTTTCAGATACATAACCTCGTATGTTGTGTACATATTTTTGTAAGATGAAGCATTTTTTAGGAATCTGGTAATATTCAATCAGATTAGTGGTGGATATAAAAACAATTTGTGTTTCCAGTCTTTATTATTTACAATTTAAGCATCTTAAATTTTTATTATGTCTGAGCATCAGTATGTAATAGTGCATGTTGTATACAGATTTTTACCCATTTATATATAATTTATTTTAGCATTCACATAATTTTAAGCATTAATCAACCTAATTAGTCAAAATGAGTCTGATTATAGCTGAGAACAGAGGCATTTTAATTAAGGAGGCAGTATTGATTTGTATAAAGGTACTGCCCTAGTAGTTGCTGGGAAAGTTAAGGTATGGTTTTACCTGTGCATGTGTACTTTTTCATGGAGGCTTATAGTTAGTTAGTTAATTAGGATGGAAGAGGTGAGTTGTTAGCTGCATACTTTGGCCAGTGTACTCTTACAGAATAGCCTCTTGTACCCAGTGAATAGAAGACTGGGTGAGTGCCAGATCTAGGATGGTCATCATGATAAAAAATTCTACTTCCAGGAATAAAAATCCTGGTTATCTAGCCCATACCAAGTCACTTTACTAATTGAGAAAGCCTGTTCATTGCAGAAGAAAACTGTGAGAAAACTTCAAGTTAACTGTTTATCATGCTGGGTTTAAAATTCTCGTACTGGAATGCTAATTGCTACACCTCAGCATTCAGTTGTTTTATGAGAGGACGGGAGTTTTATGTAGCACATGTTAAACCATTGTATTTGTAATTGCAATTGAATGTTGTTGGTCAAGATCACAAGCAATTTGGGTCAGGTTTTGGGTGGGGCTGATGTGTGTTGTGAGCAGGAAACATTACTTTTGTGAAAGTGTGGCAGGCATGCTCTTGCCTAACAGACAGTGAAAGGGGTTAATTTGGATCAGTAGAGAGGAATTAAATAATAACTTATGAATTATCAAGGTGGTTTGTGCTTGTGTTAAATAACGTACTGGCATGTATGTGATAAGAGAAAGTTCTGTCATACAGGTGTGAACATGCTGTTTTTATAAATATAATTTCAGTTTTTACAAAGTGTATGATGGCCGTGACATGTAACTCACCTGGAAGAAACAAAACATTGCATACACAATTTGGTTAAGAGACCTCAAGGAATAGATCTAGTTAAATATAGCATCTAACTGCTTTTAACATGGTAATGAACTGTCAAGTTCTGTGAAAGCAGGAGTGACCTGATTTGTAATAAATATGAAGCATTTGTTATGTAAGACTCTTATTATGTTTCATGATTAACTGCAGTAGATCTGCCCAAAATGTTACTTTTATGTTGCCCAATCAGTTTGTTTGGGGACTGTGCTATCATTATCAATTCTTAACAGTCTTTGTAGCTGATAGACCATTTTTAAATGACCTGTTACAATTGTACTTCGATGCTGTAATGAATTTAGTTAAAGTTAACAAATACTTTGTGGATGAATGATTAGGTGCAGTTCATTTTCACAATCAATGAAACAATCTTTTCCTTTTTTATACTAGACATCAGAATTAAGTGAAATGGAGCTAGAATAACCAGATTCTGAACTAATTAATGTTTAATGATCATGTTTATATTTAATTTACATACATTCTTATAACAGATTTATTCTGAGCAATTCTTAATAGTCATTAATGTCTTAGAATGTGATTAAAACTGGTGTTAATGGAATTGGAAAGTAATACATTCAATCTTTAGGTGTTATAGAGTGAATGGAGTGGTCCTTTCTCCATCCATATTCTTGTATTTTGTGTAATGGACATATTGTCTTATATGAGTGAAAGGATTTGAAGGAACATTGGCCCCCTTACCTCATTTATCAAGACAGTGTCTAAAGTCTTCTTGAAGTCCGTATGAATTTAATTCTGCACTCAGAATAAAACCACGAACTCCTGAATGTCAATCAACAATTTGCCTGATAATTCATAGTTTCCACCTTTCCTGTACAGTTTGGTAACAGACTATATGCTGTTTACTTTCACCCTTCAATATCAGTGCTCTTTATTTTTTTACATCAAGAATGCTCTATTTACACCCTTATTGAGGCTAAGATGTGGGTAAGTAGATAAATGGGTCAAGTCACAGGAGATAATCAGTATTAGCTGTGAGTTTTATTACGTGGTAGCTTCAACATTTTGTCATGATGGTAAAGTACATTAACCAGATATGGCAGCCAGGTTACTGTTCATATGAATGAATGGTCTGTCATGTAGAATTTTTTTTTTTTATTTATGTATCACAGTTATCAGGCAGCCATGTCATGTCAGATCCTATTCCTGCAATTGGATCCAGAAATTGATTTTATTTCAAGGGGGTTATTAATGTTCCACCCATTCCCAGGATTGTTTAACAGTATAATTTGTGTGTCATTGATGCAAGGTGTCTGGTTTGTACAGTTCAGGTAGAAAGAAACAACTTATAAAAAATTTAAGGAGCTTGCCATTGTTAGGATATCAATTTTGGTCTTTGGAGGAATATACTGTTGTATCTTCGGACATAAAGATGGAGACAGTATGTTCCTCTGAAACATTGGTATCTATCTACAAATGTACACAGTATTACAATCTGGAAGACCAATATTAACAAGTAATTGAAAATTAGATAATCATAGATGCAAAGGTTATTCTTGTGTACTGATCAACATTTCTTACTTGTATTAGAAAGAAGCTTAGTTAACATCTCAGTTATATTGCCTATCTAGATTGATGTTACTTGTGGGTTTTGTAATTTTCTTCAGTCAGATTTGAAGTCGAAACGAGACTCACCCATTTCCTCCTCAGTGCAAAATTATTATCCTTTCCACATCGTTTGATGTTAACCTCTTCAGAAGATATAGTATTGTTAAATAGGGTATAGAATATTAACAGACAGACAGACATGGCCTCCTCATAGTGCACTTGTTATACTAACTTCATTTCAAGAAGTAGGATCTGTTTGGGGACAGAAGAGACATTTTGTTGAGTTATTGTAACATCTGAAGGTATTTACATGCTGCTAAGTGTGATACAAGTTTTACATGTAATATATGGCATTGTGTGTAGTTGATGTCATATGTCGCATTGATCATGTATCAGCTAATAACATGACTCATGGTTGATGCTGGTAAAAGTAGGTCAATAGACACAGTGCTTGAGCAACTTGCAATGTGCCACACCATTCCTTCCTTAGTTACATTATCTGTTCTTATGAACGTATGAAGTAAATTTATGCATGACTGAGAATTTTTAATAAGTGAAAGTGAAGATGTAGAAAAGTTGGAACTTGATCATTTATGGTTAATGGAATTCCCTATTGTAAAGAAAAGAAACCAAATGGTAGTGTTTGTTGTCTTTGAATTATCTGGAAATTGCATATAGTCATTTCATGCTTGAGAGCAAAATTAAGTTTTGTAATGTTTTATGTTGCAAAATTCATTGTTTATTATATTTCTTAAAGTATTTTAAAACCCTTAATAGATACACATTTCATGACAAATTCTTGTTCTAAGTAAACTTAACTGAAGATTATTTCAGAAAGAAGTCACAAAATAAAAACACTTATCGAATCTTCTGTTACAAGACAGTTCCCTCCTGAAAATTCTCTCTCTCTCCTGTTGTGTAAATTTGTGACAACGAAACCCTTTGTGCCAAATTTGGAAAGTTAAAAGCCAACCAATTTTAATTTATGTGGATATTTTTTTAACTTCAGTAACCACATTTTCAGGCATAATACTTGAAGTATTTTACATTTTTAGATTTATTGAGGGAAGAAACAGTAAGACTCTTTGCAAGATTTTGTGTCTTGTCTCTGAATAACTTGACATCATAAAAGGAATATTGTTATTATTAAGAGTACAGGAGGATGTGCATGGAAGAATATAAGATTTTCAGCATTTAGAAACTATGAACATTTCTGTCTTCTGGGTTGTTGCGCTGTGTAGTCTGGTCGATGTTTACCACCGTTTCAGAGGTCATACTGCCTATCATCGCCCTGATGACGGAGGCAGTATGACCTCTGAAATGTTGGTTAACATCGACCAGACTACACAACGCAACAACCCAGAAGACAGAAATGTTCATACTCACCGCTGTGAAAACCTCAAATCTTACATTTAGAAACTAGCATGTGACTGTCACTACCAGCAGTGAAAGTGAACATGTTCTCACTTGCTCCCTCTGAAAATTTTCTCCATAGCTGTCCTACTTTTAGCTTGGTTGAACATCAGAGGTATAACCTCATTACCTAGCACAAGGTGATGAATTTGTTATGCAGGTACAAGTGGCAATGAAGTAAGATAATGGTTGTTATTAATGCAGACAGATCTGATGAGGTTATGACATACTTAGCAGTATTATTACAAATTGCAGGCACAGAGAGACATATTAGTTCTGAATATTTATTGTGACATTATTGGATTGAATTAAATTGCCGACAATACTGTTATATTCTCAGTAATATTAAGCTAAGTTGAGACCATGTTGTAATTGATGAAAACAAAGTAACCAAATGTATAAGTTCTAAAATGCAGATATTGCATTAACTGAAGAATATGTTTGCATTTTTATGTATGTTACATAATACAGTGACACATGAAACTCATACCAAAAAATTCTAAGGGGTTCTGATGATGTTATATTAACTGGACTTTTGGGCTTTATACAGTACTTTAAAAAGTACTAGGCAAGCTGTCTATTATGCCATTTCAGTTAATACATGTGCTATATAGTCTTATAGAAGATTACCTGTGTTTTAGAGGTGCATTGTTTTGCCCCTGTCACTAGGGAATTACTCATTTGTGTCTGCAGACTCTTTTTGAACACTAAAAGAAAATAATTATTATAACCACCAATAATTTATTGAAGTTGTTACCTCAGATTTCTTTTGTTTCAGGCTGTGGATTGGTGGAGTGTTGGTGTTCTTACATATGAACTTTTAACAGGGGCATCTCCCTTTACTGTTGAGGGAGCAACA